GAGTGAGATAAAATCATCCGAAGCGAGCACACTTCCTAATAATGAATTCCGCTCTACATCGCAACAACAATTACGGACAGTCTGGAGGGTAATGGTAAATCCGCTTCTAAGTTCAGCTCAACTTGCGCCCTGGGCTGCACAAGGGGACTGTATCCGGCTGGAGGAAAATTACTGGATTGGGTTCAGCGCTCTCTGCTGGAGGCCAATTCCTGATGGACGTATGGGTAGCGAAGTCAATCATGGTGCCTTCCTCAGTGATACGAAGGAGAACACAAAAGGTCAGCTGTCTCCGGGCGTGGACTATACCATCGAATGGGAGGGCTAGAGCAGCAAACAACACAACACTGTGGAACAAAGCAACTAAATTTCGCCCTCTTCAAACCTCATAGATAAACTCACCAGTAAAAAGTCGCTTGTCAGTTTTGTTAAATCGCCATGGCCTATCGATTTCGACCTTAACCATGTAACGGATATAGCCGTATAATCCTGAAAACGACAATTTCTGTGACAGATTCGGAGAGATTGATGCTATACAATGTTTGGTTTGAGTAATACGTTAATGTACGGTCAACTGCAAATGAACTATGAATTAGACCTTCAGGCTTGAAGAAGTGGTCTATCACTTACAAACCTCATCCACTAATATTCATCCTTTACTTGCTTCCGATTACCTGACTCAGCCCCCAACGATATTCAGTTTGAGTTCCTGCTAGTGCTTCTTCGCAACCCTTGTTGTTGCCAGCTAACGTCTGATGTCGCCCGCTATCGCATATGGTCGCATGCTGCCACTTTATCCTGTCGTTTCCCGCTGCTGGATGTTATCGGTTGATGTCGCTGGATGTCGCCTGATATCGCCTGTTGTCACTTGGTGTCGTCCGCATCGCCTGGCGTCGTTTGCCCTTGGCACGGTTCCCAGGTGTTCTTACACATTAACTGTTGCACGCGCGTCATGTCGCTAACTGTCGCCTGAAGTCGCATACTTTCGCCTAATGCTGCCTTTTCTCGACTGCTTACTCGCACCATCAGTACCCCTCCGCAACTCACTACGATTTTTTACCCAACACTCTTTAGGTAATGAAATGAAGAAGGTCATTCATGATTTCTAAAGACACTTCAAGCGACGCACTTACAGTTATTGCGGCCTTCCTCTTTGGTACCGCCCATCTAATTATTGCGGAATTGTCCTCAAATTGACGAATGAAAAAGAGAAAATCATTGCAGCACAGACTGCGTTCTCGTGGAAGGGGAGTTTAATTCAGCATACAAATCCATTGGAAGAAAAAGAGTGGAAAAAGAAAACGAAAAAGAGTAAAAGAATAACCTTCGAAACTCGGAGCACAGTCAATCGGCAGTTGAAACGTGAACGGAAATTGATAGGATCCTGCGTTGAGCACCTGAAGCAAGACTTCTCAAACGTACTGTAACCTGGAGCCCTCTTGATGAGAAAAAACTGCTGCGAACTGTCTGAACGTGTGAAAGTGCCTGCTCCCGAGGCAACGCTTCCCATTCAGTCTAGCGTACGGTATCACGAAAATATCACTCACTTTGCGCCCTCTAAAGAACAAGTTCCCGCTAATTCAATGCGCAATTATCACAATGAAGTCTAAGAAACCAAGCTCGTAGACACCCAAAAAGGGAGGCCCTTTACGGAAGCATGCAGGAATTTGGATGAACGTCAACCGTATGGCGCACTCCGACCTGTTCAACGACACCCCGTATCTACTACCTTTCCAATATCTTCAACGCACCTCCGTACTCTACTACCTTTTTAATATCTTCAAAAAAACTTATAGACACTGTGCAGAGCAAGAATGTAGGTACCTCTTTGCTGCCTTTCGGTGAAAACCATGCGACACTTTCACCCTCGGCATAAATTACCGATGCCGAATACGTTTCCGTATAGTTTTCTGTTCGTGCAGTTCTGAAAGAGCTTTCAACAATAGGAACTGGAAAAATTTTAGGCCCTATTCGGCTTGGAAGAGACATTTCGCCAGCTCCTCTCCCTAGTTCCTGTTGAATTACATGTCACATCTTAATCAGAACTGTAGACTGTTGTCAAGTGGAAAAGGAGCTCATGCTATTGCCGATCGCAAAATGCCCCCTCCAAGCAGAACTGCTCAATTTTTATAAAAAAAATTCATGGCAAAGGTTGCACTGGGAATGTGGACGGTCAGGGCTGTTCCCATAGCGTCAGCCATTGAGAAAGTTTTGCAAACCCTCAGCGCGCACAGATTGATGAGACGCCTGGGCACCGCCCCAGATCGTCCCGTCCACACCCCAGCGTAATCTCCTATTTGAGTGAAAGAAACCGAAAACACTTGAAAAGAAAAGAAGTAGGTGAAGTCAGGAGCCCTTCTTCTTTTACCGTGTCTGAAAGAGACGCACTAATTAGGAAAGCAAAATACTTGTGGGTCTCCGCCCATCTGGTTATGGCGGAATATGCCTTTATGTGAAGAGTAAGACATAGGATAGAGGAGAAATATGAGAGGTGCAGAGGAGAATGAATACTATGACAGCCGTATTACCGATTCCTGATATGTATAACGGTGGTGATCGATTAGCACTCGAAATTGCTTACCCGTCGGTGTTCCTGAAACAAGCTATTTACTTACGAGAACTCGAAAATCGGAACACCTACAATAATAAGCAACAGCAATAATGAGAGCTCCTGACGATCAACACTAATTTCATTTTGGGAGAAAGGGGGGAGCTTCACTTCCGGAACTACAGTCGTATTCGCAAAAAGAAAAGTCAGCGGTCACTGCAATGAGAGCGTTGCTGTAGTGGCGTATTTTAACTAACAAAGAGAATCTCGCTGCGATGCACGTAACGGGCCGAATTCCCCGTCAATCAATTTTCATAAACCCCTCCCCCCTGGATGAGCTCGGGTCAGGAGATCCGGATCGCGGCGGAACGGTGGTGCACGTGAAGTTGCGTGCGCGGCATTGGCACCACTACTTAATTTGTTGGATACAGAGTGCTGCAAGTAGTCGAGTCAACTAACTAGTAAAAAACACAAACGCAGAACTAGCCTTTATGCTGCCGGAACTCGGATCCCTTCACCTGCACCCCCCTAGTTTGAACCCTGTTCTTTAATTCATCTAAGTATTTCTGGCAAAGCTCACCTGACTGTTCGCGAGCGTGTCACCTTCCAGTGAGTGTGAGCACGTCCATCCACCGTGATTCGTAGCGATCTTGCCTGCAAGTGACTGAATTAGAAAGCTGGAGCTTTCCGTGACTGCAGGCCATATTATCATAGAAACTGTGGGTGTTAAAGTAAGCAGGAGAGAGGAGCAACATGTTCAGGCCACGCCCGTTTACTCGTCTGCGGCCCCTCTGAAACCCTAACTGACTACCACCTCGGTGAAAGGACGCAGACGAAGACTTGAGTTGTTCTCGCTGTCAATTGCTCCCCTCTCCCTTTATAACAACATTAGCATCTGAGTCTTTATGTGGAACATTGTCATTGAGATTGTTGAAATTAAAACCCCTCCATCGAATAAAACTGTGAGACTCAGCATGTAAGGCAGATGGCTTACCTTTATTGATTCCTTGAGTTCAAGGTGTACAACACCGTCTACATTCGTACCCGGATAGAAAACTCCCTGAGGATTTGAATAAGTGATGCATATGGAACTGCTCGGCATTCAACTGAAATGAGACCGTTCAGCAGTCCATTAAAAAACTCGTGGACGCAGTTCGGCTTGACGGAACACAAACTGGTGCTAAACAAAGTTTCTACAGGCCTACAGGTTCCTATTACTGAAGACACCTCACCCGTACCAACAATGTGATAGTTAACAAGAAAGCAAAGAAACTAGCGGAACTGTCAGATGACCCCCCCCAAGCCGAGCAGCGCCAACCTGCGTCCCCTCCACCCGAGTTCCAGTGATGATGACGTTCGCTCGAAGCACATTGAAACAAGAAAATGTCTAGAATGCTTTGAAGGCAAACAACTCTAGGGGCGGTCTTTGTCATGGATGAAAATGGGTCCGGAGCTGGTAACGTGCCTTTTTCTCCGATCGAAAGTGCACAGGAACGGAGCTGGGGTGCAGTGATATCTGCTTGCTGTTTGGGACCTGCATTATCTCAAGGAGCACTACTTGCGTCGATCTCAAAGGCAGCTTACGCTTACGCTAACCGCTATGCAGCGCCTGCCCAGGGTCGCGGAATTCTATCCTGCCAGGAGTATTGATCCTAGTCGTCTTGGGGGATTTATCGTGCCAACTGCCTTCAAGATCCAGCAGCGAAACAACACTTATCGGTAGAGGACAACCAGAACTGAGAGGGCGCAAACAAGTAGCCGTTGACTATGTCTGACGAGTGGCTGGCGAATACGAGGCGCAGGCATAGTCGGAAAGTGCATGGTAACATGCTCTTCAGCACCATTCCGTGCAATGATGACGCAGAAAGTGGCCCAAGTAGTGATATCTCGACCATTCGAAGTCATACGCCCAAAGACCAGGATCCTCGGAGGTCGGCGTACACAGTTTGTATTCAACACGGTTTCGGAAGCAGCTTGCAGCAGAGCGGCGCTTCTTCGACTGCGTATAATCGCATTGCAGGGGGCCACGTATTCATCAAGATTTTTGTCGAGTCCGCACACCCTCCCCCCCCGTTTTTTTAGGGAGGTTAGTGCGACCCCTCTCCTTGGTTCCTCCAATCGAGGATGTTGAGGGGGGGGGGGGGATTATACACACGAAGCAGGAAAAATCACGAAAAGTGCAGAAGGTCAGGAAAGAAATACGACCCCCGCTCTCCCAACCGCGACAAACACGACCCCTCTCGAATTCTGCTGACAAGCGAAATTCAAACTATCAAAGTGAATTTTCTGGCCAATGTAGACCTCCTCCAGCGACCAATACGACCCCCTGTTGGGATCCCAACAAACGATGTGCGCTGCCGCATGGCATAATCACTACGAAATAATCATAAACAAATGAAGCACTGACAAGGCACGAAATCTTTGAAGAAAAATTCGATTGAGAATTAGAAAAAGGCTCAAATTAGAGCTAGGTACCACTCATTTTCCTGAGAGAGGCAGGCGCGGCTTTTGAGCATGGCATAGGACGGGTTACGCGTGGATGCTTCAATTTGAAACAGCTGCCATCTTATTCTGTGTTGGATGTAGACATGATTACGACTGTTGCAAAATGAAAATATCTCACGAAAACCTGGGCGCAAGTTAAATTATAGTACCGGCCAGCACCAGATCTCATGGTATTTCGAGAATAGGTAGTACTTAAGTATCGACATGCTATCGACGACAATAATACTTATCTAATCTAAATCTTTTTTATCACACGATAGCGATGAACAATAAATAGCACTGCGTTCCTGCGTTCCATTGCAGTGACCCAGATCACTCAGTGCCACACCAGAAAAAAACAGGGAATTTTTGTGAATGGTGTGATGATACCGTTTAATTGGCGTACTTGCAGCGAACTTACGTACTTCAAACCGATAAAGGATTGCTCAGCTGTTGGCAAAGGTGATTCTTGACCTGAGGAGACTCGATTCCGCAATTTACGAGCGGTAATTTGTAACAAATTAAAGAAAACAAGAACAATAATACCATTAGTAAACTACACGCTTTATATTATTATTATTTTGTATTATTATTATTTTTAATTGAGGGGAGGTGGTGTAGTGACAAGTGGCGCGCTTACCATCGCGCGCCGGGTTCGAATCCCGGGTCGACTCCCGCCCAGGCCAACCAAGCCTTCTACCCTCCGGGACGGTAAATTGGTACCAGATTCGTCTGGGAGGATAAAACACTGACTTGTACATCGGCTGGCCACCGCAAGTCATTGTATAGGCCACATCGCATTCAATAAGCCACTACGATTCTGAATGGAAGTAGAATGCGTGCCGCATCCCACAAAGGGATTGATCAACGGCGAAGACTTTATCCTTTATCCTTTTATTATTGTTATTATTGTTATTACTATTATTATTATTACCTCTTGTCTCTTGTATCTTATTACATTTTCCTGCAGTAAGATGCGAAAAGTACTGGCAAGTTAAAAAAACAGAGTTAGGAGAGAAGAACCCTTTTAGCATATTCCTCGAAACTCAGGACAGATTCAGATCGAAAAGTTTCCTTCCCCTGGGGCACTGCTGGCTAGGTAATCGCTCTATGCAATCGTCTGATCCCCTGAATATGGATATCACATTCGCTTGCTTCGGAGTAGGAGGGGTGACCCTCCTCTCCCCCTTCCTCCGTTCGACAGCACTTTTTGAGTTTCTTTGCAGAAAAGTCGCGAATCTTTAGAAACCGCACAGGAAAATTGGCAGGAAGTTGGAAAAAATCTGGGGAGATGGTGTCAAAACGCCACCAGAACCGGTGGGATTTCGGCCGAATCTATCGCTGCGGAAAAAAATCGACCAGATTGTAGCACGAGTTCAGAGTAATGAGGCAGTAAAGCGTTATTAAAGTCGAAGCTACCGACAGACCAGAGCAGTGGTGTGCCAAACATGGCAATGAATGGAACGGAAATGACATGATGTGAGAGGCTTTTTATCACCGAACAGGCTACAAATGATAAGCTGGTGACGTGACCCCTTGACGTCAAAACGTGAGGAAACAGTGGTCTTCACAAACAACAATAACAAAATATTGAACCGCTTTCTAAATGAGTCATAAACACACCTACATTTCTTTGGACTTTTGAACGCCTATCCAACAC